GACACTGTCAGGAGATGAGGTGTCTCCCAAAGTTCTCTGCCTCCAGTTGCTGTAGACCGCCCTGTAAGGTTTTTTTCCTTGCAAGGATGTTTTCCCTTTTCTGTCAGGCCAGTGAAATACCCTTGACATTCCTTGTTCCTCCACCTTGTCCCCTGTCACAGCACAGAACAGCTCAATTTCACTTGCTCTGGAGCTCATATGTTTTCATGGGGATTTGGTGTGGCAGATGATGTTATATATTAATCGCTAACACAACACAGTGTGTTAGCACAAACAAATTAACACAAACAATAAACCACAGGGCTCAGCACGCTAACAGGAGGCTGCACAATCTACAGGGCTCCCACTGGGATAAATCCTCTCCCTGCGTTGCCGGGTATTTCATTGGACACGTTGCAAACTTAACCTAAGCACCATAAGGAACGGATGCTTCAGCCGACGTCAGCTGCTTCTTCAAATCCAATCCAGCATAAAAACTGACTAACTCCATCCCGGAGATTTTTCCTCTTGCGTCAATGCTGGAGCTGTACCCTCTGGAACGCGTCCAGCTGGGAGGCACCGGGCTCTGCACTGTCACCGAGGGCAGCTAGAGCCTGGTAAAGTCATAGGGGAGAGTGCGCTCTCTGGGAGCACAGACCAGACCTGAAGATGGGCCCAGGACCCTTCCCGCAGCCTGTGTTTGTCTGCAATAAAGCAGTGTTGCTTCTGCCATCCTACTTCACTCATTTCTCCTTCCCTTCTCCTTCTTCTCCTTCCCTTCTCCTTCTCCTTCCCTTCTCCTCTTCACTTTACCCACTTGTGGATTTGCCTGTTCTTGAGGGATTTTGTAACCTGTGGGTTGTTCTTGGCTCCATTTGCTGTTTCCTCACACCTCGGGGGACACCTCGCCCCTTCTCAGGGTGTTGTGGTGGGGCAGGGGAGGCAGAGGCAGTGCTCCCTTTTGCACACCTGGTGTGCTCCTTCCTGGGCAGAGTCCTGCCCAGAGACCTGGCACCCCTCACCAGGCATCTCACGGAAAGGAAGGGGCAGGGACTTCACCAGACGCTGGGAAGCCCTTACAATGGGCTTTGTAATCCCTGCAGCAACGATGTGCCACTAAACTAACTAAGCATAATGAAGCCCAGCAGAGCAAGGCTCAGTGCTCCCACTCCTGCCTCTGTGATACCTCAAACAAGTTCAACACGGGGTGCCCAGGGTCACTGGATACTTTTAAACCCCTTTGCTTGTTGTATCTCAATGTCCTTCAATGCAAGCAACAGTGATGATGTTTAGTCACCTTGGGTGAGCTGTTTGGCATTGAAAGGGATCCAGGATAATCCTGGCTTAGGTTTTTGTATAATTTATTCATTGTATTTTTAGATTTTGTTGTCTAGAATAAAACTGCACCATTTCTAGCTCTTCTCTGATGGCATCTTAGCTGACTTATGGTCTTCCTACTCATTAATTCCATTTCCCTCTTTTCAGTTGAAATGCCAGGCTGGAACTGGTCAGGAAACCACATCCCCATAGATTTTTAAAATTTCTCGTGATTCTCTCAAAGAATATTTTTAATGGGAAAGGGTGATTGAATCGAACCTGTTCTCACACACGTGGCTGGTGCATGAGGAACATCCTCATTCTTGTCCTACTGGGCTCAGAGAGGGGGTTTGGAAAAGAGATGTGGAGGAGCAGTCAAACTCTCCAGAGATGAGAAGCAGCACAGATTCCTTCCTCCTGGCTTTTGCTGGAGAAAACCTGGCCCTGGGGAAGGCAGTAGCAAGACCCCTGTCATCTGAGGAAGGTGAATGTGTAAAGGGATCCATAACGTACCCGGGGCCAAGCCGTGCTGGCTACTAGCTCTGCAGGGGCCCAGCTGCCACTGGCCCTGGAGGTGAGGGCCACACGTGGCTCGTCGTGGTCTGCGGGCACTTCCCATGGGCCATGGCCTGGGAAACACCTCCATCCTCACAAATAGCACAAACCGACTGGCACGAGGGGTGGCTCAGTTTCGAGAACCATCGGGGCAGTGGCTGATCTTTTCCTTGCCAGCGCAAGCCGCCTCACGCCTTCCTCTGCGGAATTAGCACAAGGACAGATTAAAGAAAGCCAATTTCCTTTCTCATCAAATCAATTCCTTCTGGGGCAAACAAAGCCACGAGCACAGCGCTCTTGTCCTCCCGTGATCTTGTGGTTTGCTCTGGCTGGAAGAGGCAGCTTTGGAAAACCCGAGCCCATTTCCTGCTCTGCGTGCTGCAGTGTATATCCTCGCCTCAGCCCTGGAAATGCTTTGATGGATATTATTAGGCCCGGAAAGCATTTGGAGCTCCTTTCTTCCGTACGAGCCGACCAAACTGCTACGGGATGAAAGAGGGGCAAATTGGAAGGGTCTGTGGATGCTGCGGGCAGGCTGCCCGGCTCAGGGAGCCCAAGCTGCTCTGCTGCCTGCGATGGGGAGCGGAGGAAAGCAGCCGCCAGGCCTTTGGGAGGGGGCACATCTCTTTTATACCCTCCTGCCAAGAGGCAGAGCCATGGTGGGGCTGGCCACAGCCCCCCCGTCCGCTCATCTTGGCAGTGCTGCTGAGGCTCACTGGATCCCTGGCTGGCTTCAGGCTCCTGGCCATGCCCATGTCCCGGTGCAAAGGCTGGGAGGGAAAATGAACCATGATTTGTCCCTGGCTGGTGCCCTGGTGCTTTGATACTGGGCCTGAGACAGACCATTTCACCCCTGTTTCTCACCACTGCACTGTTACAGCACTATTCTGCCCTGTAACTGGTTTTACCCAGCAAAGGCTGTGGGCACAGGGATGGATTTCCCAGGTGAAGCCCATGTCTCAGAGGGAAAAAGCTGTGCTGTTTTGTCCTTAGGATGTTTGCCCCTGGGTTTGCTTGTCCACCAAGGCAGCTCCTGTTGGCCTGCTGTCACCTCCACTCTCAGTGCTGCTGGGCAGGCAGAGAAGGTGAGGCTGGAGAGTCAAAGCCACCAAACCAACCCCAGCAAAGCCTCACCCCTCCTGGCTCCATCCAGCCCCAGGCAACACACCTTGGCTCCTTCTTAAATCCCTATGCCAGGTACAGCAGATTCCATCCCCTTCCCCAGCGCACCCTCATCAAATTCTACAAGTGAGGGAACCAGCCCTTTGGTCCTCTCACACTGGCCATTGCCCACCCTGGGTCTGCGTGCCCTGTCCTTGCTCAGCCCCCTCCAGCCACTGGGATGGGGACTCTCTCACCACTCTCAATGGGAAGCTGGCTGAAAAGCAAAGCCAAGCAAAACCTTCCCTTTGCGAGGGACTGGAGCGCTGATTGGTGTTTTGCCGCTAACACAGTCAAGAAATGACAGTGCGGAAATCTTGGGGAGTGAACAGCACTTGTGGTTGTTGGTGAAATCCCATATTAGTAGAAGGGTCTGGTAAATGGAAGCAGGAGTCGCTCTGACTACAGCATCTGTTGGATGTGGAGAGTGGTTATGACTCTCTCCAAATACAATGCACATGTACTGGGGAAAATGACTGCTACAATAACAGGAATAAATCTTAATAGAGACTTGGGTGATAACAGACACCATAGGGGAGTTATCAAAATGAAAAACATATGGCAGCGTCTCTGCCAGACCTGCATGGAAACGCCTCGGAAGGACTAGCAGACCCTGTACCTGAAAATGGATAAAGGCAGGGGAGACAGTGACAGGGGAATGGGGCTGAGGGAACAGGGTCAATCCCACCATCGTGCCCTGCTGAGAAGCCAGAGCAGAGCGGGTTGGGTGTCAGTGTCCTCCTGTCTCTCTCCCCTCTGCTTGAGTCTGGGTCTGAAAGCAGCCCAGTTTGACAGACTCTTCCCCACTTCTCTCAGCTTTGCCAAGGCAAGAGGCTGCAAGTCAGCCTGGACAGGGGCCATTTCTGACTGTTCAAACAAGACCTGGACCCGGATTGTTTATTAGCACAAGATCCCATTTTCTCTGCCTTTTCGCAGCAAGCAGGGGCAGAGGAGAGCGAGTGGAGGAGCAAATTCAGGGCCCAGGGAAGTTCAAGCACAGCCCTGGGCCACGAGGGCAGAATGGATTTGTTTTCCAGCAGTTATAGGAGCCACAAACTGAGCCCAGACTTCATGGTATGGCAAAGAACAAGCGAATGGGAAGCTTGGCTGGAACTGACAGTTTCTTGGCAGGAAGCAGAGAGAGACAGGACAGAGCAACGTTAAATGAAATTGCACCTTCTCCCAAGCACTCAAATGTCTTCGGCAGAGGAGAAACCACGGATTAGGCAGAGTGCAGAGCCCCAGCTCTGATGTGCTCTCCCCGAGCGCAGCCTGGCGGGTGACGGACAGAGGCGAGTGCAGCGGGTACGGAGCCGGTCCCCACGGGAGGAGGGTGTCGGGAAGGGAGCAGGAGGTGTGAAGGGCATCCCCGGGATCCCCAGCAAAAGGGTCAGACCCCAGACTTTGGGGTCAGGAGCGGAATATGCCGATCGGTTACCTGGGAGGTTCCCACCCCACTGGGACCAGCCACTGCTCCTTGATTCTCTTCAAAGGCTGGTCCCACTGCGTTGACCCCCACGGTCGTACAAAACTGGGGCAGGGCCCAGGGGCAGGGGGAGAGCCTCGAGCAGAAACTGTCACCTCCTCCTTCCCTCTCAGAGGTACAGGCTACCATCATCCAACCCAGGGCCAACTTGACAACTGGAGATTAAATAGTGGAAAATTCAAAAGACAGCTGAGGAAGGGGCTTATCTTAGTCCAGACACTCGTCACGCTAGCGTTAGATGACCAGGGACACCAGGAGTAAATAGAGATGTTGTTACGGTAATGGCAACAAGGCTGGAGGGAGGGAGGACCACAGAGCAGACCCTAAGTGCTTAATGCCTCTAAGTTGTCAGGGACTTTGCCCCTGGCTGTCATTATTTTAATTGCATCCTAAGTCTGCAGCCTCTGGCCAGAGCAGGTGTCTGAGGACACAGGGTGGATCGACCCCGGTGCCTGTCACAGCAAAGACTGTGCTGAAGAGAGGGTTGGACGTGATCTTGGCTACACTGATCATCCACATTGATACAATCCAGGGTTAATAACCTGGGCTGGCTTGTTTACTTAGAATAAAAAAATCATCCCTGCCCGGGGGATTAGCAAGGAGGAGCCTGAAGCTTTGAGCTGGTCTGTTCCAGCAGCAGAGGGGCAGGTCCTGCCCTCGTTTCTCCAGGCTGGTACTCACTCGTGGCCATCGTTGGGACAGTCACTGGCACAAGCCTCTGTCCCAGGGACAGGCAGGGACCATCTGACCCAGACGGGCTGCAGATGCCCAGTTTTGGCTTAAGCTAATGTACATCAGGCAAAAGAATTCAGAGATGAAACGGCATCCTTACATCAGCTCCCACCAGAAGGTTTGCTTTATCATGTGCCTAGTCACAATAAACTAGCCAATAAAGTAGTAATAAATGGCCACCAAAAATTATTTCAGAGTCAATAAAACAAGAGCAGAGTTTAACAAGGAGAAACGAATTGTTAACACTCCTCCCCTTCCCTGTCCTATAAAACATGTTGGGTTTTACAGGCGATGGGTCAATGCAGAGCTCCACTGGTGATGTGGGACAGGCAGGGTGACCATCGCTGCCTTTGCCATGAGTGAGGTGACAACCCCAAAACTTCACCGTCAGCACAGCCCCAATTCCCACTTCTGCTGCTGGCTGGGGACCCCTCCACAAGGCCATGGGCTCCCCACGACTGCAGGATGTGGCCCACACCCCATGTTTCCCCTCCCTTGGTGACGGAGAGCGCTGTGGGGGTGTCCCTGCAGCACTCAGTGCCATTGGGAGTCGGATGGTGAAACCGCAGGGCGCTGAGCTAAGCTCTCGCGTTGAGCAAACAAGCCTTTCTAAAGGTTTAGAGGACCACCTTCACGCGCAGAATGACCCCCCATGTTTAAACCAAACAATCTTGACCTCTCTATGAGTTTTAACCACATAAAAGCTCACCTCTTGGACTCTCCATTAGGTTTTATGATGTGCTTCCATATTTAAATGGACATGACTCACACCAGGGTTTCTGCTGTGCATGTGAAGGAAAGAAAAGATGAATGCCAGATGTTATGTATGAGTTACTTCAGGGAAAAAAAAAAAAAAAAAGAGAGAAAAGGAAATTAAATGTTGGGCTGGGCTTTCACAGCTCTCCCTGCTCAGGTGAGCATCAGGCTGGTATTTGAATTTGCTTTAAAAACGCAGCCTCCTCAGCCCAGTCGCACTCCTGGCTGCCCTGCAAGACGCAGCCCCCCCAGCTCGCCCTCCTCACAGTGGGGGCTTCAATTTTCTGTCAAAAGTCTTCTGGCCAAAGCTGGCAGCTGTCAGCACCTCCCTGTTTATTTGTGGAGCAGGAGAGGGCAGGAGGGGGAGCACAGAGGGGGTGGAGGGCAGTCCCACTTTGGGGTGACGTGTTCCCTCACCCAGAAAACCCGGCTAAGGCCGGCGTGCCATGCGGAGGAGCTGCACAGGCAGCGTGGGTCTGAGGGTGCAGGCTCTGACCACCACAACTGGGAAAGCACCTGAGAAGCTGCCAGCCATCCCCGGCGGCTTAGGGCTGCCTTCGTGTGGGCTCAGCAGCAGACAGCCCTGCAGCCTTGCTCCTGCCTGCCCTGTTACTCTCTGAAAGGATCATCTGTGCCGGCACAGACCCCCGGGATGTCATCGCCTCCACCACCCCGCTCTCCACATGACTCACATTCCCACCCGAGGGGACAATGGCAGAGCCTCCAGCCAGGCGAGCACGAAATCCCCAGCCACGGGTTAGTCCTTCCCTGCGCTCGGAGCTGTACACACACAGGGCAGGAAGCATGGCCGTGCCCACGCTGAAGTCATGGGCACCACGTCCCACTCTCAGAGCCAACACGAGAGCACAGGGGCTGCAGCACCACCCACAGTGAAGGAAGGACCACTCCACCCGTTGCATCTTTCCCAGCATGGGTGGACACAGCCTTAAAAACCCAACCAGCGATCTGTGCAGATCCCTTTTAAATGTTGGGCTGGGCTTTCACAGCTCTCCCTGCTCAGGTGAGCATCAGGCTGGTATTTGAATTTGCTTTAAAAACGCAGCCTCCTCAGCCCAGTCGCACTCCTGGCTGCCCTGCAAGACGCAGCCCCCCCAGCTCGCCCTCCTCACAGTGGGGGCTTCAATTTTCTGTCAAAAGTCTTCTGGCCAAAGCTGGCAGCTGTCAGCACCTCCCTGTTTATTTGTGGAGCAGGAGAGGGCAGGAGGGGGAGCACAGAGGGGGTGGAGGGCAGTCCCACTTTGGGGTGACGTGTTCCCTCACCCAGAAAACCCGGCTAAGGCCGGCGTGCCATGCGGAGGAGCTGCACAGGCAGCGTGGGTCTGAGGGTGCAGGCTCTGACCACCACAACTGGGAAAGCACCTGAGAAGCTGCCAGCCATCCCCGGCGGCTTAGGGCTGCCTTCGTGTGGGCTCAGCAGCAGACAGCCCTGCAGCCTTGCTCCTGCCTGCCCTGTTACTCTCTGAAAGGATCATCTGTGCCGGCACAGACCCCCGGGATGTCATCGCCTCCACCACCCCGCTCTCCACATGACTCACATTCCCACCCGAGGGGACAATGGCAGAGCCTCCAGCCAGGCGAGCACGAAATCCCCAGCCACGGGTTAGTCCTTCCCTGCGCTCGGAGCTGTACACACACAGGGCAGGAAGCATGGCCGTGCCCACGCTGAAGTCATGGGCACCACGTCCCACTCTCAGAGCCAACACGAGAGCACAGGGGCTGCAGCACCACCCACAGTGAAGGAAGGACCACTCCACCCGTTGCATCTTTCCCAGCATGGGTGGACACAGCCTTAAAAACCCAACCAGCGATCTGTGCAGATCCCTTCCCGGGAGTCTCCTCCTGGGAGGGCCCGATGCTCCACGTGGCCTCTCCTCCCCGCAGCTGGCCGGGGGACAGGCACGTCGACATGAAAGGGGTCCTGCTGCTCCCAACCGGGGCGGGCTGTCCCGCTGCAGACAGATGAGGCTGAAACTCCACACTAAGCATGTGTAAGGACATTAAGCTGTTGGAACTAAAGGATAATTTGAAAAGTATTTTTCTTAATACTGGCATTAGGTTTCCCCAGCTTTGCAGTTGGTAAAGAGAAAAAGAATGTCCTTACTAAGGGAAAGCAAGTGAAAGCTGAACCGGGGAGGAATTAGGGGGTGGTGGATGCTCGGAGCTGGGTCCCCTTGCTTGGCTCAGGGCACTGATCACGCTCAGGGCAAGAAGGCGGCCTGTTCCCAGCCCAGACCCTGCTGAAACACCCTGGGGGTCACTGCCTTTGCCTTGCTGGCAAATTGCAGCCCGGCAAGAGGGAATCGACGTGGCCACACACACTCTCCCGTGAGCAAGAGCATCCGTGCAGCGTCCTGCCTGCACCGAGGGAAGGGCTGCGCTGCCGTCGGGGCCCTGGAAACATTCAAGTTAGGCAAAACCTCTGTTTTTCCAGAAGTGATGAACTGAAAGATTTTTCATCCTCATATCACACAGAAAGTTCCCTTGGGTACCTGCTGAGCTCTGCAACTTCTTTATACAGCTGCTGAGTGAGCCCATCATGAACTGAGAGCTCAAAACTCTGCAACTTTTATTTCCCTTCACATTTTCAGACCTCTCTCCTTAGCCGGGTAAATCAGTGCAGCGTCAGTGAGATCATCAGATCTGCACTTTACAGCAGCTGTAAGTGGCGCCTGGTGAGTTATGTTAGTTCTCAGCACTATCCCATTCCCGACCCCACAGGGATGGCAGCCCTTCCTGATGCTCTGGGCTGGTGATTCATGGCCCTGCGGTGCAGCCCCTCCTCTGCATCCCCACCTCTGCCCCAGCAAAGGTCCCGGGGCGTGGGCTCTGCCCTTGTCTCCTCTTCCACTCCCTGCCTCCGCCACCACAGGCCAGGGCAGCGGGTGGGATGCGGGGCCCGACGCTGCACCCCAAGCTCCTGAGTGCAGGAAGCTGATAAGTCGGCGGTTCGGGGAGCGCGGGGAGGCACGGTGCCGGCCGCGGGGCATCAGAAGAGCCCACGTCCCTCATAGAGGAATTCCTGTGCCCTTGCAAAATGCCCGTGTGAACGGAGGCAGGAAAATTAGCTGCAATATGGCTTTTTGTGATGGCAGAGAAATTGCGAAAGGAAGGAAAATAAAAAAGGTTCCGTTTTCCTCTTGCCCCCCTTCCCCACGATGCTGGAAAGGCTCAGGAAGTGCCCAGCCAACAGGAACAATGTGAAAAAAACCCAGTACCATTTTCCCTGGTGAACCTGGCGGGATCCCAAGCAGGGACTATAACACCCTGCAGAAGTGGGGCTCCCTCGTGCCTCTCATGGGGAAACGAGGGCTGGGCTCCCGCCTTTCATTTTCTTCCTCTTCCTTTCCTGAGCCTGCTGCCATGTCCCCAGCGTGATGAGGAGGGATGTCTCACCCTGCCTGGGCACACTGGGGGCACATGCAGCGGCAAGGGCTGGCAGGGGGTTCCCAGTGAGCTCCCCATCTCTGGCCCGAGTGGGAAGCAGCAGCTGGCAGAAGGACACACACTAGGTCACTCCATCAGCCTCTTTAACCTCCCACCTCACCCCAAAAATGCCTTTTAATTGTGCATCAAGGCTGCCCAAAAGCTTTCTCACCCTGAACCACTCATCGATGCAGACACTGTGGCTGTGACAATGTGCAGGACATGTCTCTGGGAGAGTTCATACAATTTTGCAAGAGCTGCAACCACAAGAGTGTCTGGGCAGAACCAAAGTCATCCAACGCCACGTCCCTTCCCTGCCGGCCCTGCTCGGCTGGCACCGCCAGAGGAAGAGGAAAGGCAGGACCTGATTCCAGGGTCGCAGCCCTGGTGCATCCCTGGGAGTGGTGTGAGGGGAGGTCTGCAGACAGGCTGGGCACCGCCACGTCCCACAGTGGGTGCAGGGAGGGCTTGGGATGGTGAGGAGCTTCCGTGCTCCTGGGCAGCACGTCACCAGGAACAGGCAGCACGGCCAGGCCTCCTCCAGGGCCTCGCGCATCCCCTGGGCTTGTGTGTAAATGCTACGCTTCCCCAAATAGATGCTTTTCTGGGAATGTCCCATGGCCCCACAGCGGCCCGGCTGGATGGCATCGGATGACCAAAGCTGTTGCGTGCTCCCATTGTTCCCCAAGGCGGTTATTAATAGAGCGCCATAATAATAGGGGATATTTATAAAACACCTCTGTCCCTGGGAACCCAGAG